GAGGCCGGTAACGGGCTCCGTGGGAACTCGAAGATGGCGCGGACCTTGGGAAGGGAGGTGAGCGAGGAAGAGCCAGAGAAAATGCACTGGTCGAGGTGGCGGTAGAGGAAGTGCCATCGGCCTTGGCGATGGCAAGGTAGAAGAGCGTCGGAGAGGGAAATGATGGTCACGTGGATATTCATCATTTGATACTGCTCCGGTTAGAGACAGATGTACGATACGATCCCCACCACCCTCCCCACCTCGCGAACCAAAGTGCAAGGCATGTGAGCATCGCTCCCAAGCCCAATTCGTCAGCCGGAGAACTTCGTCATCCTCCAAATCTCTCCAGACATGCAGCTCGATCGTCACGACGAGCGACTGCGCGGGCCATTGTACCTTCGTTTCACCTGCAGACGATGGGTGTCGGGTGTAAATATAGTGATCTTGAGGGAGTGTTAGGTTGGGAGTAAATTGCCAGATATGTGGCGCAGGTAGATGGAGGACCAGAGGATGGCGTTCAATCTGTTGAAACGCAGATGAGTCTATTAAATAAAGGGAGCTGAAGCATCAACAATCACCTCTCGCATGGCTCGTAGGAACGCCTCCATGCGTCCTCCTGCGAGTCCCCGTGCTGGAGCTGTCTGTATCAATGTTGCACGAAGCGCTACTGCAGCAGAGTATGCGAGGCTGAATGTCACCAATGTCTCAAGACCAGCAAGGACCAAGTCGAAGAATCGATGTTGGTAACCGTGCACCAGGATCTACTTAGCGGATCACCGGAACGAATGAGAGATCGCTTACGGAGGTATGAACGCAGGGCCAAAGAGCAGGAACAAGCAGAACCCGACGGGTGCAAGGGAGTACGGATTTGATAGTAGGTTGGCTAGGCGGGTTGGGTAGGTGTGTGGTACGATATGCCGGTAGCGAGTCGGCAAGAGCGATGTCAATGGTGGAATGTAGTTACCCGCCGCTACGACGAGTCCAGAAGCTGTAAGATTGATGACGCAATCAAAAATGAAGATGAACACGTACTGCTGACGAGCCTTGAATGATTGTTGAAGACAACAGAGGTAATAAATAGCGAAACGAGCGTCAGTGCTAACGTGACGACCGGGAACTCGATGCTGAGGAAATATGAGCATCAAGGCGTGAATCAAAAGTGAAGGAACGCACCCAAAGAATTCTGTCACTTCGTCGCCATTATGGTGATGATGTCCTTCTCCGAAAGCAAGCAGCAAATGTTCGACGGTCTCTTTACATACATAGACCGACGCAAATATTAGAAACACCGACTGCGAAAACATTATCACCGTCTCTATCGGTGCATTCCTGCCCAATACTCAGCATTCGCTGTACGGAGAGCCTCTTAGCATCGCACGCAACTCACCCAAATGGCCGCCTCATATCGGCTTTCATCGAAGGTCTCGCGAGGTATCCAGGCAACACATGGCGCGACGCCCAAAGCATCAAACACGATCCAGTAACCCAGACCTGTGCAAGCAACCTGCTCTGCGATGACCCAGAGCGACACGCCAAGCAGAAATTGCGTCACCGCCATGACCATCGCCTCTGGGGCGAGCTCGGTGTCGCGTGCACTTTCCCAATCGGGCTCTGCGGGCCGGCCACATTTGTTCGGGCATGTTCGGTCTGCGAGTCCCTGTCGTCCATGGCGGTCTGGGGAAACGGCGAGATTGGCATCCATGGGCTGACAGGATTGGAGCGGGAGTGGTGTGCAAGTTTACGGGCGAGTTGGGCGACTGCGAGCCTGGCTCGAGGAAGGAAAAGAAGTTGTGCGAGAGGGAGTGTTTATGGTGATGCCTCCGACGCGCGGTGGCACTCGAAGACGACGAATTCGCAGTCATCGACTGCGCAGAGTTCCCCGAGGATGGCGGACGTGCACCAAATGTGAACCCTTCGCGGAAGTTCCGATGCCCAGGACCTGGCGAAGCAGACGGCATGGGTATGCCTTCGGGTTGTGGGCTATCGAAGATGATCTCCTGTCCACCATCTTCGGCAATTGCGGTAGATGGCAACGTCCCCGGGCGTGGGAAGAACATGGACAGGTTGCGTGAATGCACACGCGAATGCCGTCGCGCATGTGCCTGCGCCTGGGATGACATGGACGGTGAGGGGCTCATGCCATTCTCCTTTAACCGTAGCTCTGGCGCTGTGGAAGAGCTGGACAGCTTGTTCGGCAGTGGCGGCTGTGGCGGGAATGAGAAGGAGAGCGGCGAGGGACTGGCGGGGAAGTATGGCCCGGATACGGAGCGCGTTCGTCCGTGCGAGTTGCCCGGGAGGGAGAGCGACTGGCGCATGCCGGGCGGCTGGAACCTGTGAGCAGGGACGTGCGACCCGGACGTACCCTATAGACTCTGGGGACGCGGCACGCCTGTGGGGAAGCGGGTACGTTGTGGACCTGCTGATGGTGGCGGGTCATGATACGGCTGCGAACCGTTCACCGCTGGCGTTGACGCTATGCGGCTTCGAGTAGGAGACGAAGGGGCTTCTGATTGCCTATGACCGTTCGGAATAGTGTCATTGGACGGAGACCTCGGTGGTTCCGAGCTCGAAGGAGGTGTATGGGCGCGAGGAAACACAAGGACACTATCGTCCTCGTCCCTGCTCGACTTGCGGCGATGCATGTGTACAACAGCTGTTTGG